GACAACATGGTTCGACACTGAGACACACAGGGGCTCCGGAAGCGGGGGGGAAGGGAAGGGCCTTGGGGGCCGTCGCCCCAAAAGTTAGAAACCAGAGGGGATATGCCCTCTCATTACCAGCTGCTACAACCCCTCCCCTTCTTTTTCTCGCCTCAGCGAAAACAGATAAGCAATAACGCCCTGTGTCATATATATATATATATATATATATATATATATATATATATATATATTGAATAATGCCTTATTGTTTCCTGGGCCTGGCGTCCTACTTCCGCCACTTCATTAGCCATTTTGCTGCCATCGCGTTGCCACTGCATAAGCTGCTGACATCCGGATCATCTTTCGCTTGGAACGACGACTGTGAGCGTGCCTTTCAAGCCCTAAAGCATTCTTTAACCTCCGACCCTGTTCTGTGCCATTTCGACGAGAACGCACCTACATGTCTCCACACCGACGCGAGTGGCCATGGCATTGGTGCAGTTCTTCTACAGCGGGATGCCGCTTCACGGGAAAGAGTTATTGCGTATGCTAGTCGTGCTCTTACGGCTGCTGAACAGAACTACTTCATAACTGAGCTGAGCAGAAGTACCTTGCTGTTGTTTGGTCCATACAAAAATTTCGGCCGTATCTTTACGGACGCCACTTCACAGTCATTACAGACCATCACGCCTTGTGCTTGCTATCGTGACTGAAAAACTTGTCTGGTCGCCTCGGTCGTTGGGTGCTCCGCCTACAAGAGTACGATTTTGACGTCATCTATAAGTCTGGCAAAAAACACCAAGATTCAGATGCTCTCTCTCGCTGCCCCCTTCCACTGTCACCATCGAGTACGTCAGGTAATTGCTCGTCTGGTGGGCAAAACACTGCGTCACCACTCACATTATCACAGCTTGCGGTTATCGACACGCCAGCTTCAAATCGCTACACCGAGTTCACCACACGCCAGCGTAATGATCCGTATTGCAATAGCATTATTCAACGCCTAAATGGTATATCACCTACTCCTAATGCTAGATTTCGCCGGCAACTAGGGCAATTTAGGCTCGATAAAAATGTGCTCCATCGTTACATTTACACTACTGATGGACACCGCTGGGTTCCAGTACTTACGCGTTCCCTACGTCACCAAGTCCTCGAAGCCTTTCACGACGAACCATGTGCAGGCCACTTGGGATTTCACAAAACACAAAGCCGTATCAGGAAACGTTTCTTCTGGCCTGGCATCTCTACCTTTGTGGCCAAATACGTGTCATCTTGCCATCTGTGTCAACGGCGGAAGCGGCCAACTTCATCTCCTGCCGGCCTTCTGCAACCCATACCGTGTCCCGAGACTCCATTCGTCATCGTTGGCATAGACCTACTAGGACCTCTCCTCATCACACCAGCAGGTAATCGTTGGATTGTGACTGCTGTCGATCACCTGACACGGTACGCAGAGACTGCTGCACTACGCACAAGTTCTGCTTCAGACGTCGCAGACTTCTTTCTCAACGCCATTGTATTGCGTCACGGTTATTGTGAGCATTATTCATGCGCGTCATTTTATCATATGTACATACTCATCATCATCAGCCTGACCTGTGTTGTTTGGGAGAGGCTCGACAAGTAAAAGAATTGTCTTGCAGCCAAAACGTTGCCATAATATATATATATATATATATATATATATATATATATATATATCTTGAAAGTCTTCCTGGATTCCGGTCGAGTTATAAGTCACCAGAAGAAGCGAACGAGCAAACGAAAAACGATGCTTTATTGCCAACGTTACGGCCGGGGACCGGCCTTCGTCAGGGCATACGTGCATATTACACTAACACGCACTTCTTAAAGACATAGCATGGGGGCCCCCAATTGTGAATCATCACTCTTAGCAATATTGACATACATGTTAACAAAAAGATATTCAGACATGCGCAGCATTTTGTTGATAGCGGAGCAGCAGCGCGCTATACAGAATACGGTAGGGCAAGGTGACTTGAAAGCATAGATACAAATAATATGATGGACACTTGTGATATCGCAACATTTGTGAGTGAACAAAAAAAGGCAATGCCATGGTAAGTTACGTTCGTTGTCAGTGAAATATACATGAGCATAATATCACCATTGATGTCACAAATGTGGTAACAGAGTGTGCATGCATTCTGGTCAACTAACTAATGTGTCAACAATGACACCGCAACGTAATCACGGCAGTGGACAAACGTGTATGTGGGCTACGGCGGTTGATTTATCTGATTTGCCGGTAAAAACGTAAGCCTCCCTGGGTTTTCGTTTATTCCAGACGCTATGGCGTTAAATTTATGAATAAGAAAAGATTCACGAACTTCCCTTTCGTAGTGCGATTTGAAACCAGATTCGAGTATTGTGGCAGTTATGTTGTCGAAAGAGTGGCCTGGGGTAGCGAGGTGTTTGGACAGGGGAAGGCTAGGCAGGCACCTGACGTGTGACCTGTGATTATTAAAGCGCAACCGGAAAGCTGTCTCTGTTTGACCAATATATTGGAGGTCACACAATGAGCATTGGAGCAAGTAGATTGCATTGCTCGTGTCACAGTCGAAATTGCCTTTTATCCAGAGAGTGAAGTTCGACGCAGAGCTCTTAACAATACGCGACGTGGTCATGTGGGGGCACACCTTGCAGCGTGCCTTGTTGCATGGGTGACACCCCACTGGGGCTGGCGTTGATAGTTTGGATGACGTAAGTATGTCTCGTAGGTTTCTCGATCGGCGGTAAACTGCTCGTGGAGGCTCCGGGAAGACGTCTTTGAGACGATTGCTCTGCATTAGTATGTTGTAGTGCTTTTTGAGGATCGCGTTAGCATTTGGAATTGACGGGGAATGTATCAGAATTAAATTGATGTGTTTCCGGTGCGCAGGTTCTTTATTTGATTTTAGAAGCGCTCTTCGGTCAATTGCATCGGCGCGCATAATCGCATTGTCGATAATCTGAGGCGGGTACTGTTGTACAGTTAGGGAATCACGAAGCTTATCACAGTTTTCAACAAAGTCTGAATTTTCAGAGCACAGTCTTTTGAAACGAAGTGTTTGACTGTAGGGTATACTCGTCTTACAATGTTTTACATGGCTGCTTTTGAAATGAAGGTATCGGTGAGCGTCGGTGGGTTTTCTGTATACTTTAGTAGATAATTTTTGGCCGCAAAGAGATACTGTTACATCCAGGAAACAGATGGATGCCTTCGAGTACGAATGTGACAATGAAATGGATGGATGAACTTTGTTAAAGTCTGCAATGAAAGTCATTAGTTCCGCTTCGCCGATATGCCAGATAAAAAATATGTCGTCTATAAAACGTTTGTAGTAATATGGCTGTAGTCTGCGCGTTGAAAGAAAATGATTTTCCAATTGGCCCATAAATATATTCGCGTAATTTGGACCAATTTTGGTGCCCATTGAAGTGCCACTAACTTGTACGTAGTGAACACCGTCAAACTGAAAATTGTTAAACTCCAGGATGAGTTTTAATAATGTGGCTAATGTACAGCTATCAACAGATTTGTCACATGATGAGTCGTTATAAGCATCCACTACTGCACGAATGCCGTCTTTGTGGGGAATATTAGTGTAAAGTGACGCAACATCTAATGTTACCAGAAATGAGTCAGCAGGTATATTCAGGTCGATGATGTCAGCGAGGAAATGAGAAGTGTCCTTCAGATAGGATGGAAAAGTTGGAGGTAGTATACTAATCAGGCCATCGACATAGCTTGAAAGTAGTTCGGTGACAGTGCCAATGCCTAACACTATAGGACGACCGGGGTTGTTGGGCTTATGTATTTTAGGCAATAGGTAAAACCTTCCTGGAACAGGGCTCAGTGGGACTAATAAGTACTTTGCTTTATCGGGAAGTTTGTCATCCAGTATTAAATGCTTGATTGTATCAGTAACGATGTCCTTAAATTCTTCGGTGGGGTTTTCACTGAGTCGCTTGTAAAACCTGTCATTATCTAGCTGTCTCTGAGCTTCACAAACGTAGTCCGTTGTGTTCATTATCACGATTGCGCCTCCTTTATCAGCGGGTTTTATTACAATATCTGTGCGTTCTTGTAAACATTTAACTGCATTCCGTTCTTTGAATGTGAGGTTTCCTTTGAATGAAATGCGGTTCCCATAAGCCTGCAGGATGTCACGCTGAACTGCAGAAATGTACATATCGAGGAATTTATCGCGTTGTGTAGGCGGCGTCCAGTGTTGATGGGAAGACATGGTACTCTTAGATGATGAACGTTTATGGAAGAATTCGCTTAGCCTCATATTGCGCGCGAATTCATCTAAGTGTTTCACCAAGTTAAATTCATTGTAGCCGCCAGTAGCTGCACAGAAATTCAAGCCCCGAGCAAGCACACTCATTTCTGAGTCAGATAAAACCACGTTTGAAACGTTTACTACGTTAGGTCTAGCTGATAGTTTGTCTCGTCTAGAACAGGATGATTCGACGGGAAGGGAATCTGCGTTGGTCAGTGGTTTTGGAAGGGTAATGTGGTCACGCAAAAACTTTTTTGCTTTCTTCTGCTCAATTTCTAATTGTTTTCAATGTTCGTATTTAACCAGCGAAGCCGATTCAGAGGGATCCAACATACGAGCCTTGCGCAACTGTTGTTCACTGTTTAGCAACGCTTTGACAGCTGAATTATAATGGTCGATGATGATGCACATGAGAGCTAGGGACGCATTCTTTAACGTTTCGTTCCATTTCTCGACGTTGCGTTGTGACATTTGGAAGTTGCTGGTTTGAGCGAAATCACAAGTCCTTTCGGTACAGTCAAGGCGTTTAGATAGGTTTTTAGCGTAGATGCGTGAAGTTTGTATTTTACACGTTTTTCCACAATTTTTCCAATTCTGAGAAAGTCACGACTCTGAATAGGGTGGTCGCATGAGGTCGGTATTAGTCAATTCTTTGAAGATACAGTGCTTTTCTCATGATTGCATTTTCTTAAAGGGTACTGGTGAGACAAAGAAATGTTTCCAGACCTTTCACGAGTGGAGAGTCCTTGGTTATTTGCTTTCGCAGCAACTGTGGCGTAGGTAGATTTTTCTTGCGTCATTGGCTCGGTGTAGATTTCGGGCACTTGGAGGCGTTGGGGTGAAGATGAGCGGGGCGAGGACGCAAGTTCCGCAACACCAGGTTGGTAGGCATTGGAGGATTGCTTCATGGGACCACTGGGCATGTGGTCTAGCCAAGAGGAAGACGAGGCGTCTGTTGCGTTCCGGGAACACAGCTGCTTGATGTGGCCAGCCATCAGTGCAACGCCCTCGAAGTTTGGGTGAAGGCCGTCTGCCGCAAGGACGCGCACCGAAGGAAACCATTCCAAGGCATGGTCCAGAAAGAACACCCGGTCAGAGCGACAGCAGAAGCTCCGTAGGCGGTCGTTTAAATCACAGGCTTCGCGATTACAGTGGCTGACAATTGCTTCATTGTGCTTGTCACGACGGCGGTTTAAAGCACGGGGTAGTAATAAAGTTGCATAGATTCGGCTTATCATGGCGCGTTTCGACAGAATGTCGACATAGCTTCAAGCTATGTCGATGGCCTGATTAGTATCTACTGCCTCCAACTTTTCCATGCTATCTGAAGGACACTTCTCATTTCCTCGCTGACATCATCGACCTGAATATACCTGCTGACTCATTTCTGGTAACAATAGATGTTGCGTCACTTTACACTAATATTCCCCACAAAGACGGCATTCGTGCAGTAGTGGATGCTTATAACGACTCATCATGTGACAAATCTGTTGATAGCTGTACATTAGCCACATTATTAAAACTCATCCTGGAGTTTAACAATTTTCAGTTTGACGGTGTTCACTACGTACAAGTTAGTGGCACTTCAATGGGCACCAAAATTGGTCCAAACTACGCGAATATATTTTGGGCTAATTGGAAAATCATTTTCTTTCAACGCGCAGACTACAGCCATATTACTACAAACGTTTTATAGACGACATATTTTTTATCTGGCATATCGGCGAAGCGGAACTAATGACTTTCATTGCAGACTTTAACAAAGTTCATCCATCCATTTCATTGTCACATTCGTACTCGAAGGCATCCATCTGTTTCCTGGATATAACAGTATCCCTTTGCGGCCAAAAATTATCTACTAAAGTATACAGAAAACCCACCGACGCTCACCGATACCTTCATTTCAAAAGCAGCCATGTAAAACATTGTAAACACGAGTATACCCTACAGTCAAGCACTTCGTTTCAAAAGACTGTGCTCTGAAAATTCAGACTTTGTTGAAAACTGTGATAAGCTTCGTGATGCCCTAACTGTACAACAGTACCCGCCTCAGATTATCGACAATGCGATTATGCGCGCCGATGCAATTGACCGAAGAGCGCTTCTAAAATCAAATAAAGAACCTGCGCACCGGAAACACATCAATTTAATTCTGACACATTCTCCGTCAATTCCAAATGCTAACGCGATCCTCAAAAAGCACTACAACATACTAATGCAGAGCAATCGTCTCAAAGACGTCTTCCCGGAGCCTCCACGAGCAGTTTACCGCCGATCGAGAAACCTACGAGACATACGTACGTCATCCAAACTATCAGCGCCAGCCCCAGTGGGGTGTCACCCATGCAACAAGGCACGCTGCAAGGTGTGCCCCCACATGACCACGTCGCGTATTGTTAAGAGCTCTGCGTCGAACTTCACTCTCTGGATAAAAGGCAATTTCGACTGTGACACGAGCGATGCAATTTACTTGCTCCAATGCTCATTATGTGACCTCCAATATATTGGTCAAACAGAGACAGCTTTCCGGTTGCGCTTTAATAATCACAGGTCACACGTCAGGTGCCTGCCTAGCCTTCCCCTGTCCAAACACCTCGCTACCCCAGGCCACTCTTTCGACAACATAACTGCCACAATACTCGAATCTGGTTTCAAATCGCACTACGAAAGGGAAGTTCGTGAATCTTTTCTTATTCATGAATTTAACGCCATAGCGTCTGGAATAAACGAAAACCCAGGGAGGCTTACGTTTTTACCGGCAAATCAGATAAATCAACCGCCGTAGCCCACATACACGTTTGTCCACTGCCGTGATTACGCTGCGGTGTCATTGTTGACACATTAGTTAGTTGACCAGAATGCATGCACAGTCTGTTACCACATTTGTGACATCAATGGTGATATTATGCTCATGTATATTTCACTGACAACGAACGTAACTTACCATGGCATTGCCTTTTTTTGTTCATTCACAAATGTTGCGATATCACAAGTGTCCATCATATTATTTGTGTCTGTGCTTTCAAGACACCTTGCCCTACCATATTCTGTATAGCGCGCTGCTGCTCCGCTATCAACAAAATGCTGCGCATGTCTGAATATCTTTTTGTTAACATGTATGTCAATATTGCTAAGAGTGATGATTCACAATTGGGGGCCCCCATGCTATGTCTTTAAGAAGTGCGTGTTAGTGTAATATGCACGCATGCCCTGACGAAGGCCGGTCCCCCGGCCGTAACGTTGGCAATAAAGCATCGTTTTTCGTTTGCTCGTTCGCTTCTTCTGGTGACTTATATATATATATATATATATATATATATATATATATATATATATATATATTTTAGGAATGAAGATCGATGGTCCGGTGTAATAGATGATTGAAGAGAAGGACGCACGTACGAAATGTGGATTTATTAACGTTTCGGCTGGTGGACCAGCCTTCGTCAGAAGGCTGGTCCACCAGCCTTCTGCCGAAACGTTAATAAATCCACATTTCGTACGTGCGTCCTTCTCTTCAATCATATATATATATATATATATATATATATATATATATATATATATATATATATATATATATATATATATATATATATATTGTTATGGCGTTTATTAGCCGGCACACAGCGAGTCTACACAATGGTGACAGTAACGGCCAAAACACGGGGTCTCCGCGCGAGCGGCGTTCTCTTTGGGCAGACCCACTAGAAAGCACATAAGAGTTCGACCCACTTCAGTGTTCGGCGGCTTCTGTACAATTACCCCGGGGTCGAAGAGGGAGCCGCCTGGCGACCTAACAGCTTGTCACTACGAGCGGGTCATAGTAAGCCTTCAGACGCTCCACGTTGACTATGTCGCGCCCGCGGCGGCGCATGTCCGAAGATTGTTCAATTGGCTCGATAAGATAGTTGGCCGGAGATGTGCGCTCGATCACACGGTAGGGACCTTCATATTTCGGGAGTAGTTTGGAAGAAAGGCCAGCTACCGAGGTCGGGATTGAGAGCCATACAAGGGAACCAGGAAGGAAGGTGGGCTCAGAAGTGGCGGAGCCATCACGAATACTCTTCTGCCGCTCTTGCTCATGCGTCGTAAAAGTCTTGGCAAGCTCGCGACACTCTTCAGCAAGCCTGGCGGTCTCGGAAATAGGTGTACACTCAGATGGATCCGGCGTGTACGGGAGTATCGTGTCGATGGTGTGTGACGGGTGCCTTCCGTACAGCAAAAAGAAAGGTGAAAAACCAGTCGTGCTCTGAGGGGCGGTGTTGTAGGCGTAAGTGACGAAGGGCAGTATGGTATCCCAATTCGTGTGGTTGGCGGCGACGTACATCGACAGCATGTCGCCGAGGGTGCGGTTAAAGCGTTCGGTCAGACCATTCGTCTGCGGGTGGTAAGCAGTAGTTTTGCGATGGACAGAATGGCACTCAGTGAGAATGGCATCGACGACTTCTGACAAGAAGACACGGCCTCGATCGCTGAGAAGCTCCTGGGGTGGACCGTGGCGCAATATAAATCGATGTAGTAGGAAGGACGCAACATCACGCGCAGTAGCCGCAGGGAGAGCGGCGGTTTCGGCGTATCGCGTTAAATGATCTACGGCGACGATGGCCCAGCGGTTGCCAGTGGACGTCTGAGGAAGTGGTCCGTACAAATCGATACCTATGCGCCCAAACGGACGGTCAGGGCAAGGTAGCGGTTGCAGACCGGCTGGTGACATGTGTGCGGACGGTTTTGCGGCGTTGGCAAGCGAGACAGGAGCGAACGAACTGCTGGACGTAGCGGTACATCCCGCGCCAGAAGTAGCGTTGTCTAATGCGATGGTAGGTTTTGAATACCCCAGAGTGCGCGCACTGTGGATCAGAATGGAAGGATTCACATATCTCCGACCGCAGACTGCGGGGTATCACGAGTAGCCACTGCCGGCCATCGGCGTCGTAATTGCGTCGGTGTAGGAGGCCGTCACGAATGGCGAAATGGTGAGCTCGACGACGCAAGGCACGCGTGGATGGCGTTGCGAACGGATCAGAGAGCAAGTCGATCAGTTGGGCGATCCAATTATCCTTTCGCTGTTCGGTAGCGATGAGGTCAACATCAATGGCAGAAACAACAACCGAGGATACTGAGCAGAGCACGTTAGCTTCAGGCAGAGGGGAGCGCGAGAGGGCGTCGGCGTCAGCATGCTGGCGTCCGTTGCGGTAGAGGACGCGGATGTCGTAGTCTTGTAAGCGAAGAGCCCAACGGGCGAGGCGGCCTGAGGGATCCTTCAATGATGACAGCCAGCATAGTGCATGATGGTCAGTGACGACATCGAATGGGCGACCATACAAATAAGGTCGAAACTTTGTAAGAGCCCAGACGATTGCCAGGCACTCTTTTTCCGTGACGGTGTAGTTTGTCTTGGCTCTTGTGAGCGTACGGCTTGCATATGCCACAACATAATCAGGGAACCCGGGTTTGCGCTGCGCCAGGACAGCGCCGAGGCCTACACCACTGGCGTCCGTGTGCACTTCTGTTGGGGCCGTAGGGTCATAGTGGCGGAGAATGGGAGGAGACGTCAACAAGTGGCGGAGCTTCAAGAACGCGTTGTCGCACTCTGACGACCACGAATTGAGGGGCCCGTTACTTCCGAGGAGCTTCGTCAGCGGTGATATAATCGTGGCGAAGTTTCGTATAAAGCGTCGGAAGTATGAGCATAGGCCCACGAAACTACGCAGTTCTTTGACGGACGCAGGTTTTGGGAATTCGGCCACGGCCCGAAGCTTGGCTGGGTCAGGAAGAATGCCATCCTTGGACACGACGTACCCTAGGATGGTGAGTTGGCGTGCTGCAAAGCGGCACTTCTTCAGATTTAGTTGCAAGCCGGCATTGCTCACACGTGCGAAAACGTCTTTTAGACGTTGGAGATGGGTGGAGAAATCTGGAGCGAAGACAACAACGTCATCGAGGTAACACAAGCACGTGTGCCATTTCAAGTTGCGCAGTACGGTGTCCATCATGCGCTCAAATGTCGCAGGTGCATTACACAGACCAAACGGCATGACGTTGAATTCGTACAAGCCGTCGGGTGTGATGAAGGCAGTCTTCGGTCGAGCGTCATCAGCCAGGGGTACTTGCCAGTACCCCGAGCGCAGATCGAGAGAAGAAAAAAATTGGGCTCCGTGAAGGCTGTCAATTGCGTCGGCGATGCGCGGCAGTGGGTAGACATCCTTGCGAGTGATCTTATTGAGCCGTCTGTAGT